TATCATTGCTTGAGAGAAATTCAAAGTGAATACCCTTGATATCAGCTTTGCAAAAGTAAACCATTTCATGGACTGACAAAATTTGGTTTTGCATTGGTCGTTGGAGACTTGCTTTTGCCACAAGCCTTTTCACCGTACCGCCAATTCCATCACATGGAGATTTGCCGTGGCTAGTGGCAAAAAAGTTCCACTGGCATTTGATACCAAAATCTTCCTGATGGTGGCAAAGGTTCACGAAATTCTTACAATTCTTGTATTGCCCTGCACAGCCATCAGAAAAATAATGGATCAGCTTTATGCCAGGGGAGATTTTCTCCTTTATGAAATGTACTGTTTCTTGTAAAATCTTGTAGACCATGCTAACGTCATGGTCAAGGTCATCCGAGAGGAAACATATTGATTCGGAAACCAGTGAAGCTGGTTCTGTAAATTTGTGATAGATTACCACTGGATGTAAAGTACATTGCCTTTGATTCCAATGGTAACCTTGAGATTCGTCCTGAACAACAAATTTGAAGTTCTCTGAAAAATCCCCAAGTACTATTACCTCTTCCTGCTTGATCTCTTCCTTAAGAGTCCTCAGGTAATTTGCCTGTGACTTAGCGACAAAAGAATGTGTTGTTATGTTGTCGAGTTGTCCACACAAAATGTCAATGAACTCTTCCACAGATGCAGTTTGGGTGAGCAACTCTGACCTATCTGCTGTTATCCACTGTTTAAAACTGATTGCTTCTTCCAGAATTTCGTTCTCTCTGTCTGACTCATCACCACTTTCTTTTTCCTCTGAAGACAGTTCTTCTTTATTTACAAATATTTCCAACAAAGATTCTTTGACATTATCGATTCCAGGACACTTAGAGCACCGGTGTATCATGCACTGTTTTGAATCTGAGTTGCAGACAATCATATTTATGAGGTCCTTGTATTGATTTGTCATATAAGCAGAGTCTAACAAAAGTTTAACGTTCTGGTGTAATGTGCAAACACATACAGAATGGGTTCCTTTTGGGCCAACTGGAACACACCATTTCAGCCTTAGACTGGCAAACTTGGAAAAGCCAATGTTGCAAAGAGGCTGCTGTTCTCTGAAAGCAGTATATAGCTCTCGAATGTTGCATAGAATAAGGCGTTTTGACATATGTTGTCTTTTCCCGATGCTGACTGAGTCCTTTTTTCCTGGTAGCTGTCGCGTGAACTCGTCATCACAATAGAACGATATCACCAAATCTATGATTTCCTTCTTCAACGTTTTACCTCTTATTTCTTCTGGCATTGCTATGATTCCCTTTTCTTTCTTGAGAAGCCTTGCTTTCTGAATAGTTGCCTTGGACACCTTAAACTCTTGAGCTGCCTTCCTGAGGGTCCAAGAATTTGGAGTTAAAGTTAAAATTTGGATTCTTTGGCGCCTATTCGCGACTTTCAACTTCTCTTGCATTAGATGTATTAAGTGATCAAGATCCTGAACTTTGAGTTTGATTTCAGTAGTTTTAGCATCTTCTGTGTCATCTGGCGCTAAATCCTCTTCATCAACATCAAGCACTGTTGCTACTTTCTTTAAAAGAGATTCGTGAGCTTGGTTAATCTTTCTCTTCCCATGAGAAACAACTGAATGTTTTGGAACAGCGTGCAGCTTCAATGGGGAAACATCCAATTCATGAAGTGTTGCATCTAGTGAATCTTTGCCAGAAGAACATGATACCTCTTTATCAAAATCTTCCTCAAACGCTTCATCGGGTTCAGCTGCATGGATAGGATCGTTCTTTGTCTCATTCATTCGAATTGTACAAGAGGGGCAAAGCTTTTGGCCAGGAACGACATCAAATCCTCTGGTTACCAAATCCTTTGCATTTGACAATTTGATCTCCTTGAGACCACCTGTAATCCAAGGCAACAAACACCATTAACAACTTAGTTAGCTTCAGTTCAGAAAAAGAAGAAGAAATCTTCAAATGATCAGCAAGATTGGTCTTCATATGAATGAGGCAGTGGAATACACCCTGTTTATTTGGTTGAATTTTTTGTACCTAGACTTGATATTAACCACTATTACAATCAAACTTTATAGGATTGCTCAGAGGGCTGGTCCCCCTAATGCCTGCTTTAAAAAACCTTTAAAAAACTGAAAAAGTGGATTGGAGTCAGTTTATAGAAATTATGGCAAATTTCTGCAAAAATTAAAAGTTGTTATGCTTTGAAACTTGCTACTTTGTAATGAATTTAAGAATGCTTGGTACAAACCTTTTGCTGCCTTCTTATGTATCTGGAAAGGATTGCAGCAAGTTTTTTGCGCAAGAGAGTACCTTTTGATTAGCAGCTGCTCGTGATGCAAACAGATATCAGCATCTTTGTTAATCAACGACAACCCAGACCTCCAAAATATCAGTTCTCTTAAATCACAATCGATTGAATCCAGCCTTTTACTTCCAACCTTTCTCGAAAACGTGAGCTTGTGACATGGGTCACCCATTTTCTTTCCTACAGAACACATTTCTGCTTAGGGGTTCTTCGGAAAAGAGAATACTTTGCTGGTAGGGTACACCCTTTTATATAACGCATAAGACTAAGCTAAGTGAAAAGGAAATTCCACTTCTATTCAAGCATTTCCTGTTACGAAACATGGGCAATTGAAAAAGAGATACTTAATAGCAGGAAACGACACCTCAAAGAATTAAACAAAAATAGCTATTAACACCTGTGCCTAATTGAAATGACAACAATATGACATATAAAACCAATATCGATTTCCTTTTGTATGCGACTAAATGACTTACAATAGATGTTTTCACACACCTATTCAAAAGAAATAAAAGGGGATATAATTACTACATTAGAGTGCCCACACATAAGAAAACAACCCATTCATTTAACGATAACAAATGCAGTTGTCTTTCTGTTACTCGCTAGAATTTTCTTTTAAAGAGCTTGACACGTTTTTCGAAAAAATGGCAGTTTATAAAAAACGTGCTAGTGAAGGTCTCAAATTTTTAAGAATCTTTACCTAAAGTTACAACATTGCAAAGGCTTTCCTTTCTGCTTTTTTCCTTAACTCAAAGTTGACTGAAAAAACTTATTCTCAAAATCATCTGCACACAAGTTACTTTATTTGTTACTGTTACTGTTACTGTTTTTTTTATAATCTGGAGTTTGATGATGAGCAGCTTCAACAAGGCTGATTCCTTGAAATCTTGATATTTTAGATAGATTTTGTTCAAAGAAGGAGAATATAACCTCTTCAATTTTTTGCTGAGAATCAGTGTTAAGACTGGTCTCAGAGTTGGCAAAATTTGAAACTTGTCACATTTTGCCAACATTGAGATTTTCACACAAATGTCCCTAGCTTTTGTTGCCATGGCAACTATATGTCTAATTATCTATCACAGTAGGTCATTAATCCTTTTGTAAAATCTGTTTTTAAGTTCATTTTTGGAATCTGCATGTGCAATTTACTCAGATTTGGTAATTTTTCTATCCTGAATCCAATGCTTAATAGCAGTTCAGGTTGTTCAAAAAATGTTTTAAATTCAAAATGGCGGATCTCGAAAAATTGGGACGAAAAACATAAAATTTCAAATGTTTCTATTTTTGGAAATATTTCAGATATTCACTTGAAATTTTCAATTTGTGTTTATTCCATATTTACCCATATTTACACAAAAAATCAGCAAATTCTGAAGGGATGGGTGACATGGCTGTCCCTCTTTGATATGGAATGACCCTAAAGAGGTATCATGTTCTTCTGGCAAAGATTCACTAGATGCAACACTTCATGAATTGGATGTTTCCCCATTGAAGCTGCACGCTGTTCCAAAGCATTCAGTTGTTTCTCATGGGAAGAGAAAGATTAACCAAGCTCACGAATCTCTTTTAAAGAAAGTAGCAACAGTGCTTGATGTTGATGAAGAGGATTTAGCGCCAGATGACACAGAAGATGCTAAAACTACTGAAATCAAACTCAAAGTTCAGGATCTTGATCACTTAATACATCTAATGCAAGAGAAGTTGAAAGTCGCGAATAGGCGCCAAAGAATCCAAATTTTAACTTTAACTCCAAATTCTTGGACCCTCAGGAAGGCAGCTCAAGAGTTTAAGGTGTCCAAGGCAACTATTCAGAAAGCAAGGCTTCTCAAGAAAGAAAAGGGAATCATCGCAATGCCAGACGAAATAAGAGGTAAAACGTTGAAGAAGGAAATCATAGATTTGGTGATATCGTTCTATTGTGATGACGAGTTCACGCGACAGCTACCAGGAAAAAAGGACTCAGTCAGCATCGGGAAAAGACAACATATGTCAAAACGCCTTATTCTATGCAACATTCGAGAGCTTTATACTGCTTTCAGAGAACAGCAGCCTCTTTGCAACATTGGCTTTTCCAAGTTTGCCAGTCTAAGGCCGAAATGGTGTGTTCCAGTTGGCCCAAAAGGAACCCATTCTGTATGTGTTTGCACATTACACCAGAACGTTAAACTTTTGTTAGACTCTGCTTATATGACAAATCAATACAAGGACCTCATAAATATGATTGTCTGCAACTCAGATTCAAAACAGTGCATGATACACCGGTGCTCTAAGTGTCCTGGAATCGATAATGTCAAAGAATCTTTGTTGGAAATATTTGTAAATAAAGAAGAACTGTCTTCAGAGGAAAAAGAAAGTGGTGATGAGTCAGACAGAGAGAACGAAATTCTGGAAGAAGCAATCAGTTTTAAACAGTGGATAACAGCAGATAGGTCAGAGTTGCTCACCCAAACTGCATCCGTGGAAGAGTTCATTGACATTTTGTGTGGACAACTCGACAACATAACAACACATTCTTTTGTCGCTAAGTCACAGGCAAATTACCTGAGGACTCTTAAGGAAGAGATCAAGCAGGAAGAGGTAATAGTACTTGGGGATTTTTCAGAGAACTTCAAATTTGTTGTTCAGGACGAATCTCAAGGTTACCATTGGAATCAAAGGCAATGTACTTTACATCCAGTGGTAATCTATCACAAATTTACAGAACCAGCTTCACTGGTTTCCGAATCAATATGTTTCCTCTCGGATGACCTTGACCATGACGTTAGCATGGTCTACAAGATTTTACAAGAAACAGTACATTTCATAAAGGAGAAAATCTCCCCTGGCATAAAGCTGATCCATTATTTTTCTGATGGCTGTGCAGGGCAATACAAGAATTGTAAGAATTTCATGAACCTTTGCCACCATCAGGAAGATTTTGGTATCAAATGCCAGTGGAACTTTTTTGCCACTAGCCACGGCAAATCTCCATGTGATGGAATTGGCGGTACGGTGAAAAGGCTTGTGGCAAAAGCAAGTCTCCAACGACCAATGCAAAACCAAATTTTGTCAGTCCATGAAATGGTTTACTTTTGCAAAGCTGATATCAAGGGTATTCACTTTGAATTTCTCTCAAGCAATGATATCAGTAACCTAAGAGAAGAATTAAAGTCAAGGTTTCAGCTTGCAAGAACAGTTCCTGGCACAAGGGGATACCATCAGTTTGTTCCAATATCTATGACTAAAATTGGAGCAAAGCGAGTTTCAGAAAATAAAGAGTTCGACTTCACATTTTCTTTCACTGATGAGCCTACCATTAGGAAAGAAATATTTTACTCGGGCAGCTTCATCGTGTGCAGATATGATGATCAGCTTTGGTTGGGCATGATTTCTCAAGCCGATAATGATAATAGTGAGGTTCTTGTGAGTTTCATGCATCCTCACTTCCCAGCACGATCCTTCTCATGGCCAAGAAGAGCTGATACATGCTGGGTTCCAATTTCAAAAGTTCTTTGCGTTGTTGATGCCCCTATGACATCAACTGCCTCTGGGCGACAATATTGTCTACAGCAAACAACATTGAATCATGTATCAGAAATATTGAAAAGAAGTGATGCATTTGCCACTTCAGGACATATATAGTGACATATTGTATATACTTTTAGCAAGTTTATGTTAATGAAATGGTAAGATTTTGACAAAAACAGCAATTAATACATATAATTTTTATCTGTTACTGTTTTTTTTATAATCTGGAGTTCGATGATGAGCAGCTTCAACAAGGCTGATTCCTTGAAATCTTGATATTTTAGATAGATTTTGTTCAAAGAAGGAGAATATAACCTCTTCAATTTTTTGCTGAGAATCAGTGTTAAGACTGGTCTAAGAGTTGGCAGAATTTGAAACTTGTCACATTTTGCCAACATTGAGATTTTCACACAAATGTCCCTAGCTTTTGTTGCCATGGCAACTATATGTCTAATTATCTATCACAGTAGGTCTTTAATTCTTTTGTAAAATCTGTTTTTAAGTTCATTTTTGGAATCTGCATGTGCAATTTACTCAGATTTGGTAATTTTTCTATCCTGAATCCAATGCTTAATAGCAGTTCAGGTTGTTCAAAAAATGTTTTAAATTCAAAATGGCGGATCTCGAAAAATTGGGACGAAAAACATAAAATTTCAAATGTTTCTATTTTTGGAAATATTTCAGATATTCACTTGAAATTTTCAATTTGTGTTTATTCCATATTTACCCATATTTACACAAAAAATCAGCCAATTCTGAGGGGATGGGTGACAAAGTTGCTTATTTTGTCCCTCTTTGACATGGAATGACCCAAAGGAATTCAGCTTTTTCAAGGTGTCACAGGGTTAAGATGGTGGTAGATGGTACTTGATAAAAGTCAATCATTAAACAAGTTCTACTTACTTTTATTGTTTTGGGGGTATCTTTTATGAAAAGGCCATATTCTTTAAATAGCACACCTACACCCCTGGCTGTATCAAGGGACAGAAATGCAAGGAATATCTGATAGAAAATACAAGTTATTTATATGTGTTGTAATCCCCATTTTATATCCCTTGAAACAATCTATAAATTACTCAATTCATAGATAGTCAAAACATAAAACAAACAAAGCAGAGTAGCATTTTTTGCAGCTGTTTTAAAAAGAACTCGCCCTTTACATCCTTGTTTGTCTGTAATATGTATTTTCGCTTTGTTTGGGCTCCTTTTGTTGGGTCTATCTGAAAAGGCAAAGTTAGAATCTTGTTCAAATTAGGGTGCTTATGCTGCCTACACTGGGCTACTTAAACTGGAACTCTCGTGAATTTTATAAGACACGACAGGAATTGTTTAGGGTAATCAATGTCTTATGAAGTGCTGGGGTAAGTTTGAGCCTACAGAGAGCTAAAACTTATATTCTCAAACTTATATTTCTGTTTACAGAGTTCTTAGATACGAGGAAGCACACGAACTTAAGAAGAGGATAGAAGAACTCGAAAATGAGATAACAAGGAAAGAAAAAAATTACGAAGAATATAAACTGCAAGTCAAGATACACGAAGAGGCACGAGATAAACTTCGTGTTGAACTTAATGATGCTAACCAAAAAGTAAAGGAGTCTGATAATTTGTCGAGTCTTGCTCGTAAAGAATTGAATGAATTACAAGCACGGCTCAGCGATGAGACCTTAGAACGGGTTTCATTGTCAAAGCAGTATGATGAATTAAGAGAGCAGTTTGCAGCTAGTGAAAAGGAAAAGCTAGAGCTCCAGTTGAAAGTCAGTGCAAGCGAAGATCTAATTTTTAAATCGGACACTATGAAGGAGACACTGCAGCATGATCTTTTCGAGGTAGATTGTTTTTCTCTGTTTGTTTTTTAAGAAGCCAGCAAAGAGGGTTTTCCTAAACGTGTCTCGGGCAAGTTTATAGTAAAATATGGTTTATGAACATTTTTTGTTTTCTACCAAAGGATTTTCCCAATCTCGTTTTTTAATCAGTATTTTTTTAATATTTTTCATGTTTTGATCACGCTCAGCCTTTCTGTAGAAAAATCGTTGGCTTTTTCCTAATTTACTTTTTTTCCCTAATTACTCGTTGTCTCAAATTATTAAAGCTTTTATTGCATAGGACGATGTGTACACAGGCGTGCATCACCTTATAATTCTTTATTTAATAGTTCGGCCAATAGACCGAATTTGGCCAATAATGTCCTTTTTAGCTTTCATTATAAAATATTACTGCATATAATAAGCAACCTTTTTTGTGTCATTTGGCGATGCAGAACCTGCTAATGATCATTATGTTGGCAAATCATCCTATTCAAATATTTTGCAATGAATTTCTGGTGCTTCACACAGGTCAAAGATATGTTGAATGAATCAGAACAGAGCAAGATTAAGCTTGAAAAAGAGCTGGGAGAATACGAGAAGCAAGTGAAGAACCTGACAGCAGAAGCTAATCAACAGCGGAAGAACAACTTAATGGTAAAGGAAAAGGCCGCAAAAGACGAGAGTGTGAATTCTGAGCTTAGAAAAGAGCTATTTGAGTTAAAACAGACCATATCTCAGTTGATGTCTGATAGAGAGCAATTAAAATCTGATGTTGGCAGAGAAATGAGAAGGTTCGTATTTGCTTCTGCAGGGAATGTATTCATTCTGTTTCTTTGCCGAGATTAAAACTTTTTCTTATTAGAGCATATTGGCAGAAAGCTATTGAATCCATTGTTTCTGAAGTCAATCAGACAAGACCTGCAGCTTTTGTTTTCAAGAAATTGCAGCACATAGCCTCTTAATAATGATTTGGATCTAATACCCTGTTTTGATTGTAACCTCAAAATTTCGGTTGTTATGCGGTTTCTATCGCTCAGCTGTTTGGTACCCGCATTTCACTTCACCTCTGAATGAAATCGAACAGGGGAATTGATTACCACGTCTCCTTTTTGCTATGGGATTGAATCCTAGAAATGCTCTGTTCGAACCAGAAGTTGAAGCTGATAAACAAAATTGGTATATTGTTAAGTCATATGATCAAGTTGATGACCCGATTTTGCTGTGAGTAGTTTCTGCAATATCATAATCAAAATTCAATGTAAATAAGTTAGGTAAACAAGTAAGTTCTAGAAGTGCATGATCGTTGATTTTATCGTTTATAAGTCACTGTAATGCAGGAAATTAGTCAATTCACACATATAATGACGCTATCAATGAAATTATACCAATGAACCAAAATAATCCTTGCATCCTTTTTTCCACTGCTTCTTGAAATGTGCTCACTTGCATGGTTACATATGCAATGCCTTTGTAATATTTTGACATAGAGGTTGGTTATATTTAGCGTTTCTTATTGCCTTAATCTTTGAGCATATCAACTATTACCGCTTATTTATCAAAACTTGCCTATACCGTGTTTTATCTTATTCGCAGTTCTTGTAAAGGCATGCATTACGCAACATAACATCAGGCCTAATAACGCAGAAAAATTGATGAAAATGTATAGAAAGTCTTTATATGCCGTTGGATATATATACTGACTGAGTATTTTACATATGTTTCCATATAGAGCAAAGCAGATGGAAAGCGAAACACATATGCTGGAGAACCAACTTCGGCAGGACATTGATGTGCTGTCGAGCTCAGAGACCAAACTGAGACAACGTTGTAGTGAACTTGAGAGTCTGCTTGGGAGTGAGGCCGGTGAGAAAGATGAATATGCCATTAAAGTTAGAAGTCTGGAAACGAGAATGAAAGCAGTGGAAAGCCAGTTAGCTCAAACTGAAGATGAGAAAATGGATTTAGAACTGCAGTTGAGCATGATATCAAAGGCCATAAAAAAGTCATTTGGAGTAAACATACCTGGAAATACTAAAAGGATGAATAATGCTAAATCAAGCAGCCCAGTGAAAGAATGGCTTGAGAAGGATGTAGAATCTGGTTATCATGGTATATCATAATTTCATAATGATTCCGAGGGATCTTTGAAACAATTGTTTTGATTAAATTGTTCTAAAAATTTATTTGTTTTCCACTTGATGGTAACATTGTCAAACACAATTTTTAGCGGGTTTTGACGGTAAAATATTTCCT